CTAGTCATTTCTCGTTGTGTTAGAGGCTTCCTCTAGTCACTATTCATTATGCTAGAGGCTGACTCTAGTCATCTTATATTCTGCTAGAGGCTTCCTCTAGTCACCTTTCCATATGTTAGAGGCTTCCCCTAATCATATCATTAATATTCCTAAGCAACTTCTATGCCTAGAATCACTTTATATTGAGTAGCCTTTGAGGCCTACTCCTAGCTTAACATAGCATTTACACATTCCTACCTTAAAGTATCTCATAAGACTACTTAAGGTACATCTTTCACAATCCAAGCCCTTAGGATTTATTCTATCATTTTTCATGCTAACATTCCAACTAGTTTTTCATTACTAGCCAAGTAATCTTAGAACAACCAAGTTCTTACTTCAAAGTCATATTGCTCATCTCAATTGATTTTCCAATCCCAATATGATTTAACCCCAATATCAAAAATATCACTTTTATCCATTCATGACTTCTTTACATGAAGTAAAAGTATATTTTATCACAATATTTCACAATTAATTTCATTATCATGCTATCATATTCATAATACACAATCATACACAATCTCTTCTAAATTTGTATACCATGCTTCATTTACTCACATGCAATAGTATTTTCATTTAGGCATTATTAATCATTAATAATCCATGAAAATCACATTTAATACTTTAGGTAATCTTATGAAATTAACTCACTAACTATAAGCAATATAGTGAGTCATCCTCACCTTGAATGAGCTTTAAGAAGTTCTACCCTTATCGGTTGAACTCCGGCGAACTCCGGTGATACTCAGGCGAAACTCCGAAAGCGGTTAGGAACACTTTTAGTCAAGCTCCTAACAAGGTTTTATCATCACAAAACCCATATCAACACAAATAACCTCTAAAAGGTTATTTTCCGGCGAACCGGTCGTTTTGGCTTCTAAGTCCGTTCTTGGACTTAGAACTACCTTCCAACCCTTTATTCTACACTTATAAACATGTAGAATAATCCTAGGGTTGTCCATAACATTCTAAAATAATAATATATTCAATAAAAAGAGAAGAAAAGGTAAATGAAACAATTACCTAGTTTTTCCGAGTTTTGTACACTTTTTGGAACTTAGACTTTTTCCTTGAGCTTCCTTCTTGTTGGAGCGTCCTTCAACAATGGTGAGAGATGGCTGGAGGGTTTCTTGAACTTGATTGGGATGTGTTGGTCGAAAATGATGAGGTGAGGGGGTGGAGTTGGCTCTTTTGTCTCAATAGACAATAAGTGTGGGTTGAGAGACCCACCTTTGTCCTTTTAGATGCCTCTCAAGTCAACCCAATCTCTACCCACCTTCCTCTTCTCAAAATGGCTTCCCAAATCTCATTTTGTATGCCCAAATTCGTGGGTTGGCCTCCACCCATGTGGGAGGTCACCCCTTTTTGTTCAGAAGTATACAATCGGTCTCGAAAGTTGTATTTTTCGGACTGTTTTAATTATATTTTATTTTATCGGGTCAAATAAAATATAACACATGTTCCAAATCATTAAAGGCCTTTATAATGGATATACATTCCCCAACTTATATTTAGAAGTCTCCGAAATTCATTTCGAGCTGTTATCCGATAAATTACCAATACCGGTAATTGGGCCTCGTTTGACCAACGAGTCAACTTTGTGCCCTTTTTATGGCCCAAATAAAATCCACCATCATATACATATTATCTAGACTAATATGAATATAATATGTGGTTCTAGAATTGTCAGGCGGTCCTCGTTCCCGGTGCGGACCCCACGTGCAATTTACTATTCACGCAAAAGAAAAAAATAAAAATTTACAATTTCGAAACTTCATAATTCATTCTTCAAGGTTATTACATAATTTACTAAAAAGTAAATATGTTTAGGGACGGTGTTACATACTTTGTACGTATTTTCTAGCCTTTTGCCTTCGAGTATAACTTGTTGAGATCATTATTGATAATACAACAAACATGATGATAAAAAAACACGGTTACCTCAGTCACAAAATTGAGAAATACTTATCAAATTGAACTTTAAACCCTTGACTAGAAAAACATTGTCAATTGAGTGGTTGGGTGACTTTCCAACCTTTCCTGTGGCAATGATCTCTCCTTTACCGTTATCTCCAAATGTCACCCTTCCACCATTAAATGGCCGCAGTTAGAGGAATAAAGATGTATCTCCGGTCATGTGCTTAGAACAACCACTGTCAAGGAACCAGTGATTGTTCACCCTCACTCGGCGTTGTTTCAGGTTTAAGGGTTAGCGCATCAACGTATTTGGGTTTTCTCATTCTGTTAAAACCATTATTTTTTTATAAAATGTCTAGTTTGGTGTTTGTCCATAACCAGTTTTGTGCTTTTGAACCACTTTATCGAACCAGGTAGGTCCAGTTCTAGATTGTGTTTGATTTGTTCTAGAACTGGTTTGTCCTCACTAGAACCCTTTGGCGTTTGAGATCTCTATTGATACCTTTGTCTTCACTAGACCTTTGGTTGGAACTTGTCTTGTTCTTATTATAGGTTCTGTCATTCTTCTTTTGTGGACGGTCCTTTGCCATGTGCTCAAAGGAACCATAAACAAAACAACCTTGGTTGTTAAAAGATTGAGCGTTCTTTTTACCTTGTTTGTTCCTGTTGCCTTTGAAGCGTCGATACATCTTCCCGAACTGCTTTGCGAACATGTTCATCTCATCTTTAGATTCACTTTTGGATTCCTCTTCTTCTTGAGTCTTTAGAGCTATCCCCCTTTCTTTTCTTACATTTTCAGCGTCTTGCCCTTCTTGTAGCCCTAACTCATATGTCATGAGTGAACCTGTAAAATCCTCTAATGTCATTGTGGACAGATCTTTGACTTCCTCTATTTTTGTAGTTTTAGGCTTCCAAGCAGAGGGCAGGCTTCTCATTACCTTACTTACTTGATCTTTAACAGGAAATATCTATTCCAAGGTCTGAAATCTCATTTATGATATTGGTAAAGCGTGTAATCATATCCCTAATTGAATCTTTAGGCTTCATAACGAATAATTCATAATTCCGCATAAAAATGTCAATTTTGGATCTTTTTACACGTGAGGTACCTTCATGGGTAACCTCGAGCAAGTCCCACATTTTAGTGCTTGGGCATTGTGCTCGAGTTTTTGATAATCATCAATAGTATACTCAGATTTAGGTTTAGGAACAACATTACCTTCATCGTTGACCTTAGTGATGACATTATCGCCTTCTTCAAATACATTCCATACCTGATAGTTTTCAGCCTTGACAAAGTTCTCCATTCAACTCTTCCAGAATTGATAGTATTTGGTATTGAACAATAGTGGTCATTGAGTCGAATACCCTTCTTCAAGTCGTTCAACCATGTTCATTTTTCTGGATCTCTTCCCAAGGTCTTACCCTCTATGTGGTGAAGACTGGCTCTGATACCAATTGATGAAACGGTTAGTAACACAAGGGGGTGAATTGTGTTTGAGATATCTCTCATGCTACAATGTGTACGGTGCATATGTGGCATGAGAGATAGTCACATAAATATTAGTAAATGAATTATTTCTCTCCTTATTTATTGAATGGTTTTATACAGTTTTGGTAAATTTTTCTCCACAATGTCAAGGAGACCGTCTAAATGTTGACATTATTGCAGTTGACATTGCAGAGAAAAACTTATCAAAATTGTATGAAATCATTCAAATAAAGAGAAAGGTAATTTATTTGTTAATATTTATGTGGCTATCTCTCATTCCACATGTGCACCGTGCACATTGTAGCATTGGATATGCTCTAAGCTGTCTAGAGTAGATCTGTTGAGGCTTTTTCCCCTTGGATGACCGAGTTACCAAGAGTGGGACTTGCCTTGTTATGATTTAAATGTGATTCCTTTTGGTGAAGATTCTTCCTTATAAGTGCAATAGACTCATACATACATATATGGATCATATTTCAAGCAAGAATGATTTTACATAAATAAATACCAACGTATAGCAAGGGAGTAAAATATTCACTTAACAAATATAAGTATGTACTGATCTTTTCTTATATCACGCAATCATACCAAGCAGACAATGATCCCTTAATTAAGCTGTATATGACATGCAATTATTGAATGAGTATCCAATCATGCATGGAAAGAGATTTAAATGAATCATGCTTCGTACATCTAAAATAGTCATGCATGAAAAATAGTATATGCACTCGTAAAGAAAGTACATTAATTTACAATGGAGTAGGTGCAAACACGTTAATTCAAATTAACCACGGAACTATGAATAGTTATGTTCTTTGTTCCACCTGCAGCCCTGCAGGGTTAGTCATCAACAAATAATCATAAGTACGTTGTGCACTTAATATCTACTGGAACATTAGATAATTCTGTCGTCCTTTATTCTACCTGCAGGATTAGTCATCAACAAAACAATACTCAATAAAATAGTACATATAAAAGTCTATATTAAAATAGGGAAAATGGTCATGTAAGCCCTCCTACTATTCTTGAAACAACACTTAAGCCCTTGTACCCTAAAAAACATCACATATATACACTAACTTTTAAAAAACAATCATATGGGTTGGGATGACCTATAAATGACCTGATACTACCGGTTATATGCTTACATGGAAGCATTCTCAGCCAATACTAGAAACATTTGCCACTTCATCCCTGTTTAATTGTTTTTAATCAGATGTGTGATTGATTCTATCGTAGAAGCTGACCTGATGTTAGAAATAGGGTTCATCTTTCATCTACACTTTTCTTCTTCTTCGGAACGTGAACTGAAGAATCTAGCTGACCTAATTATTTTCTTTTCATTATTTACAACACTATAGAATCTAGTTATGCATTTTAGATATTTGTTTTTATCTTTGTGTTCTTTCTGTTAAAATTTGTAGGAAGGGATATATGAGTAAACTAAAGAAGCAAATCAAAAAATGAGTGAACTAATAACTTAATAAATTTGCAAATGTGCAACTGCTAAGTTTATTAAAGAACTACTGCAAAAAACTAACAAGTCTGTAAATGAATAAACTAAATGCCACATTCAGCCACACAGGTTATGGGACTGTTAACCCATAATTAATACATTTACAAAACAGGATTACACCCATACAAAAATACTAAAAATTACCCTATGATTAGGTTTGGAGCTACACAAGTTGTTGACTTCCCACACAACCTCCTTGACCTGAGAGACCACCTTCTTGTCCTGGGTGACCACCTTCATGACTTGACATACTTGTTTTTTTAGGCTTGGTTTTTTTACTAGGGTCCTTTTTCTTCCTCTGGTTTGAGTTTGTCTTTCCATGGGACTTGTTGGGCATTTAGATTGGGATAAAGCTAAAAAGGGACACTAAGATTATTTACGAATCTCAAATTGGACACTTAACTTTTAAGTGGACCTAATTAACACATGATTCACTTATTTAGATAACTTTTGGCCATCCACTCACATCTCAATTAAACGCCGTCTGTCCATCCGTCTGCTGAGGGTTTCACCAATTTTTGCCAACGAAGGAAAATCACCAACATAGTTTCCAGGCTTGAAGGAAAAGGTTTCGACATTCCTTCAATGATCGCTCACCGTTTTCTCCTGTTCCCTACTTCCCTTGACTTCCTCGTTAGTCTTGCACTCTTCTTGATCTCATCATCAGCTTCTTCATAATCCGAGGTCCAATGTTACCTTGCCACCTATTCCCAAATTTTACCTTTTTTGCTATTCGTTTCATTGTGGCAACCCTAATGGACTCTAGCATAGGGATAATAGGCTTACTCCTACATTTTACAAGTGTGTTATTAAAAGATTCAGACAAGTTGTTGTCAAGAGCATCACACTTTGGATAAAATCTGAAGAAAGCTTTGCACCACTAACGAGGATCATAAAGATCCAAATCTGCATGGTCGTGCAATCAATTTTTTCCAGAACATTCATTTGTTCAAGAAAGTCAGGTTGTGTGGTGCATCTAGCACATATCCAGAAGTGCTTCTTCATGATCTATCCCCGATGTTTCTTACTCCAATTCGCATGGATATGCCTGCAGCAGTTTCTGTGCTCAGAATTCGGGAACAACTCCTTGATGACGTTTACTAGGCCCTGCACAATCATGTTAACAAACCATTGGTGGAAATAATGGACAAAAGCACATTCAATTAAACTCAAATTTACTACTACTCTAACATGCATTTAGGAGCACTTTGTGTAATTTTAGTTTTAGTATATATGGTACCTTTTGTTGATCAGTGATCAAAGTCCAATGAAAGGAATTGTTAATTTGAATGTCTACTTTGAGAAGATCTAAAAAACATCGCCATGAGTCAGTATTCTCAATCTCTACAACCGCCCATGGTATAGGGTACATTTCATTATTTGCATCTCTGCCCACTGCACTTAAGATTTCACCCTTAAGCATGCCTTTAAGAAAACAATCATCTAGTCCTAAAACGTGACGACATCCTGATAAGAATCCCTGCTTTAGTGCTCCAAAGCACACATATATCCTTTGAAAGACTTCCGGCCCATCTTCATTAACCCTTTGTGTTTTCACAATGACATTGCTCCCTGGGTTAGACGTAATACACTCCTCTGCATAATCTTTGAGTCGTCTAAACTGCCCTGTGAATGATGCATTGGTTTCTTTCAAAACTTTCATAATCACTCTCTTCACCTTGCATATATTAGTACTGATTTTCAATTCATTACGAATTAGTTTTTGTAGTTCCACTTTTCCTATACATGGATTTTCCCTTATTTTATCCTCATACTTCTGTTGTAGCCATGTTTGACTAACTAGCTTCAACTTGTACTTTTCATTGCATATGTGCTTACCAATCCAGGTCTTCAGTTGGAAACATATATATTTACTAGACCAAGAAGCACTACATTTAAAAGGGCAGTTTCCTGCACATGATGCTTGAACTCTGGTTGGGTCATTCTTGACTCATCTGATATCTCTCTTGTTGTGACCTGCATAACTAATCAATGCACTTTTGAATTGCTTCGCATCTTCAAATAACATCTTCAGCTCTAAGTCTTTAGATTCTGACCTCGGATTGTATGATGGGCATTTGGAAGTACGTGTGATTACCTCAGGTTGCACCTCAACATGATGCTCCTCTTTATCAGACTTTGACATTAAACTCGGGGGGTCATCCGAGTCCCAAATACTCAGTTGATTGTTCATCATCATCATTAAATTTGGGATCCACTTCCAATCAATCTTGTTGTTTGAAGCTTCTACGTAAGTTTACTGTGGTCCACTAATTTCAAAATTTGGATCCACTTCTATTAACATAATGTTTGAAGCTTCTAAAGTCATATATAAACGACGTTCTAAACAAAGTGAAAATTGAATTTGGGTTTGCAACCCACTAACCTGAAAGCCAATAGATGAGATGCGACTAAATGTATTCAAGAAGACGGATCACATCCCTCCAACATTATCTCCGGCCGGCCATGTAATCGTCGTTCATCTGAGAGCGTAAATTTTCATTTCATAAACCCTAACAGCTCGCTAGCAGAGAATATATGACACATTGACGCCCATGATTTCGATTTTCTTCAGAAATGTAATATGGGCGCCTCGAAACTACTACTTCGAATAAAGGTGACATGGCATGCTTACATGTGGGCAAAAGTAATACCCGAAGAACATGTAACTGGGATTTGCAAGTCATTTGTAGGTAATCTTACATATATGAACTCTTTATATAAGTATGTGTATATATGTGATGTTTCTTAGGGTACAAGGGCTTAAGTGATGTTTCAAAAATAGTAGGAGGGCTTATATGACCCTTTTCCGATCCCTATTAAAATATCAAAACTGCAAATTAAACTATTGAGTATGATTGAAGTCTAAATACTGCATGCGTGTGTTAACATAACTAATTAGTTACGTTAATGAGTATATATTAACTAGCTAACTAATGACTACATTCCATTTAATGATCTAGTAAAATCTAAGTCTAAAACATTTGGTTTGAGAATCAGCTGGCATGGATCCAAAAGGCCGGAGCTAGCGGGCAGTGAGGCAGCTGGAAGGATTAACAAATGAATCAGAGGATGTGATATGGGCGTTAGCGCAAGAGGATATGGCTTGTTCTTTCTTGCATGTCAGGTGTACGTTGTTCAACCTTATGCCCATGCATGGTTCTCTCGAGCTACAATCCAAATTTACTCCCACTTCTGTTGTTGATGTTCCTTGTATGTCTTGGTAGTTCACATCACTGATCCTCACGCCCGAACCCTAAACATTAAATATAACATAAACATCCACATTTATTATCTAATTTATGTACGGCACATTTTTGTTTTATACTCCCTCCGTCCCGCTAACAATGGGACAAGAAGGAGTGACACGCAAATCAATAAAAAGTGGTTTATGTGGTTGATATTGAATTGATAAAGTAAGAATAAGGTGAGAATGATTTAGAGTCACACAACTTTGCCAAATTTGGTATGGGATAATCTTAGTGGGATGGACCGATAAGGTAAAACGGGACAATCATAGCGGGACGGAGGTAGTATAATGTACGATATCCAAATGAGAGAATTTCGAGTAAAAAAGTTTTGAAATTCCAAAATATTACTATCATGTTTTTTATTCTTTGAACTGGAGTAAATTTATGCCATGTTTGGCATTACTAGGCTTTAAACATGGCATTTTTTCCAAATTTGACAGATTACTCCTATTCAAGGGATAAAAAGCATGATACTCCTGTTTTGGAATTTCAAAACGTTTTTGCTTCTATTTAGAGCAATTTCTGTATCCAAATCCAATGCTCCTGAATCATTTTCCCTGAATCATTTTCGTTTCTTTAATTAGATCATGTTCTCATTTGAATTAAATTCTATATTATGATATGGCTAACTATTTAGAAAAGTTAAGACCAAACATACACATAACGAAGGTCATGTATTTCCTATTTGGGGTGTCCCAAAATGATAGTCATGTTTCCCTTTTTTGTAAAGAAATTAATGTAGATTATCATTTATACACCTCTTTTTCAATGAACAATAAGAGTAAAAGAGTGAACGGTACAATAAAGTAAGCTTATATGAATTCTTCGACCACTCTTTCTTAATATTTGAGACCAAAAAATATAGGACCATCAATTTGTGATGGAGGAAGTAATAGAAATGACATGAATCTTTGGCAAAAAATATTTGCCAAATTTCATGTCAATAACGTTATATTAATGCCAAAAACATGTTATTTTGTTTTAGTGAAGACCGGTTAGGGATTACCTCGTTGGAGCAGCCATTGCTGTTGGGGCAGTAGTTTTGGTCAATGATGATGGGGTTTCTCACGTCAGACATGAAGCCATGTTGAAAATTGACGCCTCTAACGAAGCCGTTACTTGGCTGTGACCAAGTTTTGATCCTAAATCCATTTTGTGTGCCGCTGAATTTAACTCCGGTGACGGTCACGTTGTGTACTCCTTCCTCTTCCATTTCCCAACCTAGGCTCCCAATGCTGCACAAATTAAAATATAAGTACTTATACGTTAGAACATTCTTTTTTTTTCACGTTTGGCAACGCACAATTTTAATCGTCATTATATTTAATTATAGATTAGTAAAAAATAATTAAAATCGGATTATGAAACTTAGTAATGAGATGAATTCAACATTTTTTTAAAATAATTCACATATATTAATAATTAAATAAAATGTAATCAAAGTAGAGTACATGAATAGTGTATCAATTGCAATGTTGCAACTAATATGATACGGAGGATAGTATATGTTGGATAATTGATACCCATATCCTATAACTAGTGAGAGTTTGAACAAGAGTGGAGAAGAAATGATGAAGAAGAAGATGAATAGTGTATAGAATGAATATTGATTGTATTTGTTGTGTAGCCTCCTAAAGGAGTATATATAGGGAAAATCCGGGTCTGGGCCTCTAATATGAGCCTGACAGACCCGGTTACATAAATGGACTGATAGTACAAAAAACTAATCTAGAACATCTGAATAATAATAATAATGTACAATAATATGAATGATATCCGCTAAACGTGTGTGGGCCGCTGTCTAGGCCCAATAGTAGGCAGACCGGGAGGTCGAAGTCCATATATTCCATCAGGAGTCCCCCACTCCCTGAGTCGAGAGTACTCGAGGTGAAAGGGAGTAGTCCAAACTGTATCTGCAACGTTCTTCTGTCTTTGATTTCTTCCTCTCCGGCCGGGAACCACCACCCTTGTCCGTGATGGGGAGGTGCCTCGTTAAAAACCTTTACTAGGAAAAAACCCTGTGGGAAAAAATCCTAATAAAGGGAAAAAGAGTACACCTAAAGGGAAAAAATCCTAATAAACAAGGATGGTAGACCCCTTCCGGCATAATCATTTTTGTCTGGTTCAACTCCTCTTCATCTGACTCAGCTTTCGTTCCTGCTCATGCGTGATATTTTCTGCTCATCTAGAAACTCTGACCTCTCAGTCCCCCAGTCCCCCACTCTTTGAGGCGAGTGGAGTCGAGGTAAAAATGAATAAAGTCATCTTCGTACCTACACATTTGGCATGCATATAAATTTTTTTCTTGGGGTTTATGTTTCCGATCGGGAGTTCGTCACTTGAAAAAAGTGGAAATGTGAATTGTTGATGTGATGATAAAATACTTAGTAGAGTGGAGGTGTGAGCCATTCTTACGCAACGGTCGCCATTCTTGGAATGACTAAGACCGGTCTTCATGCCTGAGAGTCAGGGCTTTGTGCCTGAGGAGTCAAGGTTTTGTGCCTGAGGAGTCAGGGCTTTATGTCTGAGGAGTCAGGGCTTTAAATCCTAGTGATGGTCTCAAGTCACAGTCTACTAGGCATTTGATCATAATTGCGTGACAGTGTGACATTTAACCGGAAAAGAAATGATTTAAATAAATATAAATAATATAAAAATTAAAGAGAAGCACTTAGCTTTTTTAAGCGGGCTGAAAAATGTGGGCTCACTAGAATGAATATCATCCAGCAGAACTCCTTGGGCCCGTTTTAAATTGTAGAAGCCTTAGCCCATATCCACATATTTTAGGCCCAATTTTTGGCTCCATGCAATTCTAGCCCACTGCTTCCCCTTATGTTTACCAGCGGAGCTTTAATACGGAGTAGCTGACCGTCCATATGCGCTAGTAGGTCCTTCTTCAAACGATGTCCGCAGAGTTGTTGATAGCTAATCGACTAACAGTCCATGTGCTAACAGTCCATGTCGGCAGATCTTTGAATGATGTGTGGTCTGCGGTCACTTCTCGCACCTAACGTTAGGTGAGGGCAGCCCTTTCCTCGAAGCCGCCGGAGGTCTGGATTAGATTGTCGCCAGCCGCTTACAATCACCGTCAGCAGAAAGAAAGGCGGCGTCCCTGTTGAAGTACAGATTATAGCGGGGTCACATGTTTCGAGCGTCACTCCTTGCCCTGTCCCCTGCCATGGTCGTCAACTCAAGGGGTCAGAATAGCTTCCGTAGCTCTCGCCGCCGGAGAGAGGTAGCAGCCGCAGAACCTTGGCCTAAGCCCTGAGGATGACCGTGGTTCTGATTCAGGCATGGAGCGTTGACGGAGGCCGGGAGGGCGGAGGAGAAAGGGAGATCCGATCCCTGGGAGACAGCTGCGACTTAAGTCTGGGACCTCAGGCTGATTGGTCCAGGCGCGGTGGCAGAGCAAGACAGGAGGCGCTGAAACAAGAGCGACGAATTCTGGCTGACAGCATCTACCGCCGGAAACAGAGGATGCGAACATGATGACCATGATGTATTGATGTCACGGCTTGGACTTCCTAATTCGTCCAAGCTAATGTCGTCCTTATGATTATGAAAGTGGATGACCATGATGTATGGATGCATTAATTCATCCAAATCATGTCACAGCAACATGATGACTATAATGTCGGTCCTTCCACTTTCAGATCTCAAATTTTCTTCTTTTGATTTGGATTTTTTAGAACACTTTTGGCTTATCTCTTGTATTTCGGATGAATTTTTGGTTGTTTTGGGAGGTTTTCTCACTTGATGTGTTCAAACCTCTCAACGAGAGCACCATTGTTGGATAATTGATACCCATATCCTATAACTAGTGAGAGTTTGAACAAGAGTGGAGAAGAAATGATGAAGAAGAAGATGAATAGTGTATAGAATGAATATTGATTGTATTTGTTGTGTAGCCTCCTAAAGGAGTATATATAGGGAAAATCCGGGTCTGGGCCTCTAATATGAGCCTGACAGACCCGGTTACATAAATGGACTGATAGTACAAAAAACTAATCTAGAACATCTGAATAATAATAATAATGTACAATAATATGAATGATATCCGCTAAACGTGTGTGGGCCGCTGTCTAGGCCCAATAGTCGGCAGACCGGGAGGTCGAAGTCCATATATTCCATCAGTATATAAATATAATAATTAAAATCATTGTCCACATTTTGTCATGATTGACCAAGAAAAGTCAATATAGTGAATCTTTTCGGGACTGAGGTAATACTACATTCGTCCCTTAAAACTTTGCCAAAGTTGACTGGCATGGAGAATAATAAAGTAAAAACTGTGTGGTTGAGGTTTGTGTAGAGGAGAGAGAAATAACAGAAACCACAAAATATTGATTAAAATGGAAAGTGACAAAGTTTTTTGGGACATCCCAAAAAGGAAAGATAACAAAGTTTTAAGGGACGGGGAATATAAATAGACCAATAAGGTTAGAGTGTTGTAAACATAATCATAGAATGTACATCATACGTAGTATGTAACATAAACATATTAGACAATACTAAACCAGATGAATTGAAATTAGATTAGCTCACTTTCAATCCAAACAAGAATATTAACACGTGACACGGAATTCTTCACTAAAGTTTGTTTATCCCTTTTTACCAATAAGAAGTATTTAACATAATAAGACCAAATTACTTCCTACAATTATAAATTTTCCATAATGCCACTATATATAAAAATAAAAGTAAAAATCATACTCCCAATGTTACTTGAAACATATCTATATCTTTGACTAAAGTTATTTGTTGTCAAGATGTTAAATTTTGACTAATAATATACTCCCTCCGTCCTGAAAAGGTTTGCCAAATTGGCTTTTCTTAGTCAATGACAATCAATTTTGACCAATTATAATTTTTAATAGGAAATTATTGTGAATATGAAAATTATATCAAAATTTTCCTTATTCAAAATATTTTCATAAAGTATAAAATTTATCAATTATATATAAATATAATGATTAAAATCATTGTTTAAAGTTTGTCATCATTGACCAAGAAAAGTCAATATGACAAACTTTTTTGGGAAAACGGTAGTAGCTGTATACATACTATGAAAATTTTCTTTTGTTACGTTAAAAGATACAGAGTACAACGTAATATTTATAAAAGTATAAAATTTGTAACTTTCATAAAGTACTATAAGCAAGATATGGAAGGTTATTGACCTGATTCCGTGACCAGGGCCACAAGTGATGTCTTCGATCCACAAGTCTGAGCTGCCGGAGCCGATGGAGATGCAGTCATCACCGGTCCCGATTTTAGAATGCAGTATTCTAACATTTGATGACTTCTGGACATGAATACCGTCTGTATTAGGACTATCTTCAGCCGCTGAGATATCAACTTCTTCCAATTGAGCATTGTCGCATCCATGAATGAGAATGTGAAACTTCTGACTGTTTTGCGACTTTAATCCGCTAATAGACACACCATTTGAGTGATAAAAGCTCAGCGCCTGTATACACACATATATCAATACGCCACACGCGAAAACAATAAATTTCAGATCAGATAAATAAATAATAGTTGTGCTAGGTGTACACAATTTTGTGTACAATTTTTGTACTTTCGTCTGTCTCACGCAGACAGAATTGTCTATCCACAAATAACTGTATAGAATTGTCTGTAGACACACAATTGTGTGTGCGTGAGACAGACGAATGTACCAAAAGTGTACCCAAAAATGTATACATCAAGCATATTTCAATAAATAAATAGTAATCTCATGTTTTATAGAAAAGAAACTAAACAATTTGATCTCTTCGTGGTAGAGCAAAATTATGTGTATTTTAATTATTGTCAAAATTGTCAATTATATTACGGTCAAAATTTAGATATATATTACAAGAAAAACACTAAATAACCATAGAAGATCGGAGGACCAGCCGGTCATTTACTCATTTAGTAAATCTTAGTATATTAATAAAAAGAGCGTACAGTACACAATCTCTTACGAATTAGTATGATTTGAATTATTTAACATTTAAAGCAGCTTCATATGATAAATTTAAATAAAGACTTTTAATGTGGGTAAAAAGGATTTATTTTGAAAATGATCATCCTTATTAGTTGAATTTAAAAAACATTTTACAATTATCCAAGTCTGACCTAATTTGAGACCTAATTTTATAATAGGACTGAAATCAATTAATCCAATTAAAAATATCCGGAGAAAGAAAAAGTGTAGTTTTAACTATATATACCATAATATAAATATACTGGTAATGTAACTGTATACTTCATATTCAACAAACATATACATCCTCATCTATTTTGACATAATTATATTTTTATTCTGACTATATAGTAGTAATTTCTTGTTTAATGAATATTGAGCGTTTTATGATTCCATAGTGTGTGCTCGGGTTATAAGTACATGTTAAGTCTTCTTATCTAGTCGTATTTTATTTTAGTTATGTTCATGAAAGTTTTTGACGAATAAATAAATTAATTGAATTATAAAAAAAAATTGAAAAATATAGATTTAATGGGCAATTATCGAAACTGCATTTAACAGAGTTTACCTACAAATGGACACCGAAGTAAATCGCAAACAGACTTCTTATCGAACAAGCATTACACTCTTTTACTTCAAACTAGCAAGCTAAAATATATCCCAATTAACCCTAACATTTATTTAACGCTTATCGATTGCGAATTTGGAATACCTTGAAGGGTTTGCAATTTTCTATATTATTTTAATCACGTTACCCTAATTAAACAAGAACATTTATTTAACACGTATTTGTCAGTTGGGAATTTGGAATACCTGGCTAGGGTTTGCACTTTGCGTTACTATTTATTTACTACTCTTCACTAGTCAAATTTAATTTCTATCATACACGAATTGACTTATTGTGATAAAATATAAGTACTTTTAAAGTAATTTCTAAACATTAAATTTTAACGTTTAAATAACGTTACAATGTTTACGATGTTTGACAGACGATAAAACAAATGGATTATAAATTCTATCAACTTGGAACAAAGAGAATATTATTACTCCATCCATCTCGAATGGTAAGACATTTTACGGTTTACGATGTTTGACAGACGATAAAACAAATGGATTCTTGTCCGCACTCAAATTACTTTAAAAAATAGAATTACATATTCAGAAACTACACATTAAAAGTTTTACAAAGTCGCAAATAAGAGATCATGAGTGATTTGTGTTGACCAAGTGAATACGAAAAATATCTTACAAAATGGGAGTGAGGTAGTATTACTATTATGAACGCATTAATTATTTCGTACCGTAGATCCTTCCGGACAGTTACCGTGAGAGTGTTTGCAAGACCACAGATTCGAACCTTGGCCATCTAGGGTTCCGCCAGCTATGGAAACACCGGAAACTTTACTGAACTTGATCCAATTACCCTCACTTCCGACGACATTGTAGTCGGAAGGCGCCACAAGAACACCATTGATATGAAACTTGATGTCAGTGTTCTTGCATGGCCCTTCAAAAACCACACTGCCCAATAAGAACCTTCCCTCGGGCACGTGGATGGCGGCGGCGTCCGAGGACGCACAAGCTGCCGCCCAGGCAGCCGAAAAGGCCGCCGTAGAATCCGTCTGACCATCCGAGTCTGCTCCATATGTCAGAACACTGTAGTTAACGGTGGCTGCCTCTGCCGTGAATATTTTTATGAATATGAAGGTGAAAAGAAGAAAATAAAGTTGTCTCTCTATTGCCATCTTTGTGAAAATAAAGGAAATATATTCAACGAAAGAAGAAGATACGGTAGAAGTGATTAAGCTCAAGGAATAATAGGTATTATATATATATATATATATATATATATATATATATATATATATATATATATATATATATATATATATATATATATATATATATATATATATATATATATATATATAGAATAGACTATAGTCTTTTCTTTTAGCGGGAGTCATAGAAAACTAGTTTGACAGTAATAAGGAAGCTTCAAATAATTTAATCCTCAGCTCGTGCAGGAATCTAGTTACTCAATTCCATATACTCTTACATCGACAATTACTTTTTTTTGATAGCATCGGCAATAAATAACGAATAATTTAGAATAAAAATATATAGTAAAAATAAAATTACACAATAATTTCTTTTATTAGAAAAGTAAATGAATATTAAGAGTACAAATTATTGTACTCCTCCTTGTAAACAACATTTAAAGTCCTTTTCCATGGTTGTCCATCATCATCACATGATAAACATTATCAATCCAGAATGATGCATTAATCTTGAGACTGTGACGTAAAACTACCAATTAGGGATGGACCGGTTCCGGTTCGGGCCCGGTTCGGGCCTGGGTCCGGCTGGGCCTCGGTTCATGAAGGAGAGGCCCAGAACCGGCCCGGGTAACCCCCGGGCCCGGGCCGGGCCTCGATTCTATTTTTTTTTTTTGGCTTTTCCTAGTTAACCCCCAACCCTCCCCCTCACCCCCAAACCAACCATAACCACCTCAAATGGCCCAAAATACCCAGCCCAACCC